AAGACGCACATACAGAATATTGACGTGTTGTTATGGTGACACAGATATGCGCTATACTTGCTTTTTAATTGCCGATTTCACAGGTATGAATGCTGAAACTTGAGTAATATTGGTGGGCGCTGCGGACGGCGTCGGATTTCGGCCGTTGGGGGTATCTTTTCGGCGGACAAACAGACAAATGTACAAACCGACAGACAGGCAAAAGTTTTTGGGTTGAAGTACCCCAGGAAAGAAAATCGTCTTCAATTAATGTTACAAAAATCGACATACTGCTTACTCATAGGCAGACATGCAAGTATTAGACAGCAAACTAATTATATATAGAAACAGGATACAAGAAAAAATCTTAGTATCTTTACACTGTCCAAAACTTTATGCGGCGCTGTTTCAGACGGCCTCTGGGGGAACTCGCATACCACAGTTTTCGAAAGGCCAGAACCCTATGGATGGACAAACAGCCAACCTGTTCGAGGCTACTGAAGCAATCAGTGGTGGTAACCTCAGTTCTGCGGCCCCCAAACTCCAACACATAGGCATATGGATGGTTTCGCTTGTCCCTTGTTTGCCTCACTGTCAAGCGGTTACCCTGTCGTCGCGTAGGGGAATGGATTTTGTCATTAGCCCTGTCTCTGTGCACCTAGCGTTGCACTTCTGCTTAGTGTGCTGTGAGGGTGATGTTACCCGGCGGCTGCTTCGGCGTCTCACTTTCTTTGCCTTTGTGACAAGCTTCACGCCCGATTTCGATTACAGCACGACCCTCGAGTTCAGGCTTCCAGCACACTTTGTCGGTTTTCCGGCCTCAGCTCGAGGCAACTTTGAGCGTTCGCGTTCCCCTGATGTTTTCACTGGCGCTATTTTTTGTGGCGCCACAAAACGCTCACAGCCTCGGTGCGTGTTCTAGTATGTACGCTGCTTTTGGCATTAACTGCCGAAACTCTAGGCAGGTCAACTAGCTTCTCCTCGCGGTCATTTTTTAGGCATCTGCGCGTCTGACTCAACGGTGCATCTGACACGTTCTAGCTAGCCGGCTCACCTTGTGATGTCTCTTCTTGCTGATATTCATCACCCCGCGCTTATCTACGTGCTTAGTCATCTCGTGCTATTCTAAGCGCATCATCCTTTCTCGCTATGCTAAGCGCCTGTCCTTCAGGTGCTCATAACGTAAACGTGTACAGTATACTTGCCTTTAATTAGCGCTTTTGGCTTTCAAAATTTTATGAGCGGACTCCCAGCCCATCGGACGCATCAGAGCTCTCGCTAAATTGTGACCCCAAAAAAATGCCCTTTTTTACCAAGAGCATATTTGTGTCATTCTGGGGGGAATAATGCTCGGGAGGGTTTTGAGGCACCACAGTTTTTTGTGTCGAGCAATCTGAACAGTCCCTCACTCTCAACGCGGGCTAATAAAAAAAACACATTTTTTAACTACTTGCAGCGCACATGCGCATTCGCCTGTGGTCGCCTCATTTTTCAAGGAGTTGGAATGTACAGTATCGAGTGATCCGGCTGAGCCCCGCTGTACGTCACACAACGTGATATCCACCAATAAGAGCAGACTCTTAGACTTTAGACAGCCGATCGCATTGTGACCAGGCTCTTCGCTGGTGACCGGCTTTCTAGCCTTAAACAGCTTTCGTTTCTCTATCTGATCTTTAGAACAACCTGTTGAGTTTGTGGTCTCGGCAGGACTGACTTTCAATATCTGATCGGAGGGTGCTATTCCGTTATACGGGTTACTTTCTGCCTGAAAAACAGCATAAGACAGTCGACTTTTTTCAAGTATCTTCTATTCCTCAGTCCATCCTCGCTTTCTTTCGGTCTCTTTTTTCTGTTTTTTTTACTTTCTCAAAACACTGCACAATTCCTTTGCCCTCCGCACCACCTTCCTGAATTAACCTAATCAGATGCGACTCTCTCTCGTCTCTTTTCACCTTAATTCTCAAGTTTGCACAAAGTAGCAAGAAGTCTGGTCTCTCTAGCTTATTTACCAACTGCGAGCTTTCACAAGTGAGGATTTTCTTACCGCTGGCAAGCCAACAAGCGAAGCCTAGACACACGGTAACAACACTGCTACTTTCCTAACATGGAAGCTAAAAACCCTGTTTTAGAAAAACTCCATCAGCTAAAACCTGGCAAAACTCAAAGAAAGTCAAGCACTCACCCTATTGTTGAGGCCCGAGACAAGCACATCCCGTCGCTGCCAACCAGTTGTTTTATCCCGATTGTCAGCAGCATCCCATCGCTGCCACCAGTTGATGTATAACTGGGAATTGACAAGATCACCTATCTCCCACCAGTTTATTTAGTCGGGGGTCTGCTCATAGGACTGGAGCCAGACAGAGTCTCGGGGAAAGATCGAGGAGACTAGCTAAAGCTGTTAACAGTAACTTTATTTGCATTATTTACAGGTAGCGTGTTATTACATGATTGGTGTAACATCATGGAAGCTTAATGGAAGATTCTGGGAGCTTGCCAGGAGCGTCTCAGCGCTCGCGTTTTTTGCCCTGGTCTTCCCAGAATTCCCTTCAACGAAAAACAATTGAGGTCACGACAGTCCAAGGAAAATGTTCTTTTCACCTCCAACCCCCAAAAGGGAAAGTGAAACACCGCCTCCTTCCTAACCAAAGAAAGACTGAAGAGGCACGCCCAGTTCGTTTCATGGCGAGGGAGAAAACACTATATGACACAGCACAGCGAAAAGACGTTGAGTTGGACGTGCAGATCAGCTGTGAGGTCTGTAGCAGTGATGATTGTGCAGTGCGGGCAGGCCAAGGATTGTGGAAAACGACGGCATGAAGGCACCACGAAGAATGTGGGAAATGCACCGGAACACGGATCCCCGATGCTTGGCTTATTTTCCGGTGAAACGCAGAGATAACCACACTTTCTAAACTATTTTGACTGCAAACAGCTTTTCTCAGGCCACAAGTCGGTCAGACATGTTTAAAGGTTTCTACGATGGGAGACGATTGCACTGCGAAACTCGAAGTACTGCTGTGGTGTTGTCACCGCTTTTGGCGCAACTCTATAGAAGCGCTGACCCGGAACGAATCGGGGTAGACTTAGCCGCAACGTCTCATGTGTCCGAGCGGCACCAAGCCAGGCAGGCCTATCATAATATCATATTAAGGCGAGTCTTTTCGTGACGTCATGTCTGCAGAAGGCGAATTTGCAAACGAGTTCCAAACAACGGCGCAACTTCAGGGTAGAATACTGGGCTGGCACGTGGCGCACCTGGGTTTGAATCACATTGTGTCCTTGGTGAGTACATTTACCGAGCTTTTTTCCTTATTTCCTGTGATACTGGCTACGAACACCGGTGGCGGCAGTGGCCGACATCTACGGCGCTGCACTTGAGACCTGTGTTCTGATCTCATGACAGCTTTCACTGTGGAAGCCTCAGTAACAGATTCAACGCCGACGTACGACAGAAAGAGAAGTCTATGGGGAGACCTAAAGTTTAGCCTTATGTAGATGTGCTTCACATACACAGGAAATTATTGTAAAAAGGTGCGGAATTCACATGACCTTCGTGACGCCAAACAAACTACTATTGTATCAAGTTGACGGCTATAAGCAGAACAAATATCTCTTGTGTTAATTTTGTCATTCGTGCAAGTCAGTTTGTGTCTTGTCTAAGAGACTTTACGTTCCCTTGTCATTGGGAAAAGTATATTCGACAAACTGGTAGGTGCATTAACACGCGTGTACGAGATCCTAATTCCAACAGTCAGCACGTTTGTCACTCATTGTAGCAATTGCCATAGTGAAAAAGAAACCGAAAGCACCTCCATGGTATCACGATATATAGAAAGGAGATTATTGAGGTCCCCTTTCTCTTGACTATCAGTGTCCAGGTATTGCGCGTCATCGACAATATGCGATGCCTACATTACCGTTCAGGCTGAAGACACCACGTAAAAAGACCCACACGAGCAGCTGTATAGATGTGAAAATCAGCGAACAGTATCACAAGCCAAAAAAAGTAGAATTGTGGTCATTGAGTGATACTTATGGTCTAGTTAAACTACTCTTGCATTTTATGAAAATGTTTTCAATAACACTGAAACTTTATGTATACTACAGCAGCGTTCACGTTTCGCCGCATGTTAATAAAAAGAACTCAATACACACTTGAAAGCTTGCGGTGACGTATGTCACGTTCAACGCAGCACCCTCTATAGTGACGAGCAACATCCACGTTGCCACATACATTCCTCAAATTCAACCAGCCAGGGAGAGCAAAAGTCGTACTTTACAGCCTGCAGTTCAGAGTGGGTAACGTGTAAGTTTTTCCGCTGAGAAGAACAAAAGCAAGCTCGTGATGTGCTTCCACTAGATTATTTGTACTTCAGTATTAGTTTATTATTATCTTGACGTATATAATATGAGGATTGGAAAAAGAATGCCTGCATTTTTAATACTATCGGACCACTGAAATCTCTCAATAAGTTACTCCTTGAATTTCTTTTTGCCTTATAAAAATGGCACTATCCTAGACGGCTCAGACATTTGGTAACTACAACACAGATAAAGGTCAAGAGTGTCACATTTGATAAAACCACGTTGCTCCACTAGATGGCTATCGCTTCCACCGTCACCTGCCTAGAGATACTGGGTGATGGGGAGTATGTACGGGCTTTCATAGAAAACAGTCCGTTTGTACATTTAAACTATCATCAGTGAGTGGGTCATGGGTCACTTCTTTTTCTATGTTCTTGTTAGTAGCAAACAAGGAATAACCATTATTAAAACACGCGCTTGATACCTAAAGTGTTATTGAAATAATTTACAATTTCCTAAATCATAAAAAAATTTAATTTTTCGCTATGTTAGGGCATTCTTGGTAGACGGTCTTTATATGATAACTTTGCACGTGCGCAGCGCGACTTACAACAGTAGCAACTGACTCAGCCATCTTATTCAACGAATGCACACTGAAACAGACGCCTTCAACCACAATCGATTAGGTACCCTCGTGGCCTTTACTCAGACATCACCTCCGCGTGCAGTTGCCCGTAAGGTGTGGCGTAGTGCTGGTTCTGCGTCCTGTGCTTGAAGCGATCCACCTGAACCTTGTAGGACAGCATCCCAGAACAAATGGCTACGAGGCTGAGAGCAAAGAGCAGTAGTCCAGCCATCCAGAGAGGTTGATACTGCAGCCACACGAAGCCGACCACGAAGGCCACCGTGCCGCACAGGCTGAAGCATAGGCCAATGACTGTGGTTGCCAGGGGACCCTTAAGATTGAGCTCGTCGCTGTTGCATGGAACGCTGAACACCGGAGGCTTCATTTGTTACTGCGCTGTGCGAAAAGAATGTAGGACATGAAAGGCATCTCCTGCGTGGATCACTCAAATGTTTGTCTCGGGAGCTTTCTTCCAACACATCGCTTCCCAGCAAAACTTTGGGGCAGAAGCCGTATTGGCATGTATATTTGTTGTGCTAACAGCATCATTAAAACAGTAATCCGAAAATCCAAAATAAAATTGTTGAACAAACCAAATAACGGGCTAATAAATTACCTGAGTGAAGTAAAACGAGTTTCTTTGGTGTTTAATGAATTAGTTTTGAGGAGGCGCAGACGCTGAACATGCTAGTAATGATGCCTAAGGAGACTGCATACGTTAATAGCTGTGTTTTGCGAAAGCACAAAAGCAGCCACAAACCCGTTACATTCACTGTGCTCTAATCACAGAATATAGATGTTACCAGAAGTGTGTCTGCCAAGCCACAGATCAAATTAAACAAAGATCACTTGCTCACGCAATCATTCAAGAAAATGTGAGACCTGAGAGAGAAGGAAGTAAAACTGCGCCGCCTATCTGTCATACGGAAAATCACTTGCTGTCCGCTAAACTTGCAGTGAAATAACTTTCTTTTCTTTCAAACAAACATGTGTATTATGAACAGTTTAACAACCATCAATATCAGGCTGGTAGGTAGCTCGACATTTCCCGCTACTTCGAACGCCTCTTCCTGATCATCTGCAGACAATGCAACAATGTAGATGAACTTCACAACCAAAACTTTCTATTAAAATCAAAAGTCAAAGGTATAATGAGATCAGGTCAACAAAGATTATAGCCCAGCAGCAGCCGATTCCCGGCTGGCGCTCTTCGCATTCACTCGTACACCTTGTTTATAAACAGTCTTGCTATGGTGTGGAACCATTGTTCGAATCCCTCACCCTAATCCGACCAATGAGTGCATTAAATTTTAATACCGAAAAAAGAGGCGGGGCTATTCCAGTCTACATCGTAACCATACCCTTTAGAGCCCGCCCTCTACAGTACATCTTCGGAGCCACACTGTGTGACTACTACAGCAGTGTTCCAGAGCCCTTTTGTTTACAAGTTCCTTCTGTTTTTGTATAGTCGGCCTGGTGCGGCGACTTCAATCCTGAGTCCCTCAGCGGGCTAGGATGTCTAGGATATCCTGATGGCCCCTCTCAATGTACACAAATGGCGACTCGACCATCGTCTTTCAAAGGAATGGTTCTTCTGCCACAACGCACTGGAACTAATGCAGCTGCGTCGAAACTGGTGCGATCGCGACACTGTAATCAAAAATAAGCCTAGATGGGAGTAAATGACCTTGTCCTCTTGCGCACGCCCCGATGGGAGTTTTATAAACACCGTCTATAAGGAGTAAAAAAATTTACTCCCCATTAGTAGGGAGTTTTTGAATGGTGCCAGGGGTTTTCATTTACATCTAACGGGGAACTTTTTCAGGTCAGTATGGGAGTAAATTTTGTGCTTCGACCGAGAAAAAAAATTACGTCAGCAGCCGCACCTTGTGCAAGCGTAATTTTAATTGCATTATCTTCAAAGCACATAACAGTGATTACAGTACACAAACATGCTCACATCTTCACGTAATATTGCAACACTCACACTCACCACAGCTTGCCACCCACGCTCCACACCTACGATTCAGTCACCGGGTATATATAGGCACCACATTCTGACCTCCCATGTAGCCCTCAAGGGACCCATTTTGTTGCTGTTAATTAAACAATAAACACGCACGGCGTAAGCATGAAATTGCGGCGGCCGGATGTAAGCACTTCAACACACATGCCTTTTATCCTAAGCCTGCCTAATATTCAATATTTTTTAACTAGAGCGACAAAGTTTTATCAGTTGGCGCTTTGTCGTACGAGCTGAATTTGCATTAGCAGTACTGTTTGTGGATCCGTAAACTGCACTGAATCATATCCAAAGCGCGCGCGGCCTTGCATGAACACATTGAAAAGGCACATTCAGCAGCTCTAGCGCTGAACCGAGGTAGACCACCGCTACCGCGTCCGACGACTAGGCCTCACTCACGAGTACGGCATGGTGATTCGATGAATGACAGCTGGCGATCACAAAATGCTTGCTTATGTGCCGTTTACGTCTCGTTATTGTTCGTATGCTCAGAATGGGGTGTCCGCTATCCACGCAGTTTAAGCTACCGAGCAATAGACTTAAACTAACGAGACGGTTCGCAGTTTCTGTTCCTGTTGCTCGCTCGCATTGCACGGGCATGCATGTATTCCGTACGCTGTTTCTGTGTTTCTCCGCCTCGTTTGGCGCTCGCCTTCGAGTTAGTCATTTGAAAGCTGTGGTCGCATGGCGCAGAAGTCTGTTATTCATCCCAGTAGCCTTTATTGTTTGAAAAACACATTCATTGCTTCGCCGGTAGTCAGTGCTAGCTAGCTCGTAGAGCTCGCCACGGCGGCCGGTGCGCAGTGCGAGCTCGATACGATGCCGGCTTGATGCTGACGGCATAGCGAGGCCTTCTTACCGCTTAGATGTTGCAGCCGGTGAAATACCGGTGACACTCCGAGAACTCACCATTGGCGGAGACGGGGCGAGCGCGTCGTCGCCGCAACACCGCAACTCTCACACCAGTTGCCGGTCAGCCTGCCGTGGTCGAGCGAAGCCTACTTCGAACCGCTTCGACGTTTTCCGGTGCAATCGCTGACGATCGTACTCCGCCTCGTTCGGCGCTCGCCTTGTAGTTAGTCATGTGACAGCTGCGGTCGTAAGGCGCAGAATACTGTTATTCATCCCAGCAGCCTTTATTTTTGTGAAACACATTCTTTGCCTCGCCGGTGGTTGGTGCTAGCTCGTAGAGTTTGCCACAGCGGCCGGCACTCAGTGAGAGCTCGATACAATGCCGGCTTGATACCGACCGCATAGCGAGGCCTTCCTACCGTTTAGATGTTGCAGCCGGTGAAATACTGGTGACACTTTCAGAACCCACCATCGGCGGAGACGGGGCGAGTGCGTCGCCGGCGCAACTCTCACATCGGTTGCCGGCCAGCCTGCCGTAGTCGAACGAAGCCGACTTCAGACCGCTTCGAAGTTTTTCACGGCGAAACTCCAGGAGCAGCCGCTGACGATCGTAACAGCTTACTTTTACTACCATTAATGTAATCTTCAAAGTTTTTTGTTACTCGGCCCTTTGAAGCGTGGCATTCACGGCGTTTCGTTGAGGAATTGGACCGATGTGGAGCGTGGTTTAACGGTGTGAAATATATTGAAATGTTCACAGTAAATACCAACCGGTCGTTGCAATTCTTCGCTGCACTTATAATTTTGTTGCCTGTTGACAGATGCTCACACGGTTAGCCACACAAAGCACCTGCGTTTCACACCAACGTGCAAACATATGCCCGTACACACACACACACACACACACACACATACACACACACACACACACACACACACACACCCACACACACACACGTCACGCCCAAAGAGGGTTAATAAAGCTCCCATAGGGAGTTTGTAACCACGTGACCTGAAACTCCCTGGGGAGTTTAAGAAGGTCATGTCTTTCATAAGCTCTGTGATTAAGCAGGGGGCGTTTTACGACGACATGTGCCGAGTTCACTCCCTACCAGGGAGTAAATAATTGGGGCAGGGGAGTTTTGTGGGCTCATGCGCTGGAGAAACTCCCATCTGGGCTAACTTTTGCTTACAGTCGACGAAACCATTAAACAATTAGAACAGCTGTTTTATGCGCTATTCGCTGACTTACCCGCGTGAGTGTTCGGCTTGGTAAAGTTAATTTGAACTTTCAAACGGGGAATACAACATCTATAGGAGCGCCTGTCACCTCCCCGTCTATAAATAATCAAAACTGCCGGTTTTCACTCATGCTGTGTCCAATAAGGAAACGGAGCCTCAAAATTATCTTAATTTACGGTCAATAAAAAATTGTAAGCCGAGAGGTGAAGGCATGCCAAGATATGCACTAAGAAGAATCGCATTTTACTCAAATATGCTAATAATCACCTCCGTGACGCAGTGGTTCTGGTCCTCGGCTGCAGGTGGCACGAGACGCGGCTTCAATCTTGGCTGTGGAATTTGCGTTTCGATGGAAGCGAAATGTTAAAGGCCCGTGTACTGTAAGATGACAGTTCACTGTAAAGACTATCCCGTGTCGAGATTTAAAAAGCCCTCCACTACTAATTGCCTATAATTCTACTGTGGTTCTGATATGTCAGACTGCAGAAATTACTGAAATACTTATTGATTGTACTTGTGAGACACTCACACAAATTAAGGAAAAATATCAGCTACTTTAGAAGTCTAATGCTTCCTGCGAATACCTTAACGTAGTATCGAAGATTTCTCGGTTCTACACTTACAAACAGGTAAAAAAATGACGTTGCTCTAACGTCCTTATGCATGCACAAATCTCTTTAGTTCTTGCCGGTTACATTGAAAAAACAGCTGTCACACAGATGTGATATCGGGAAAAACGACGCCTTATATGAGGTAACTTGCGAATGCAGCCAGTTCACGTTGCATGACGTAGTTTTATTATTAAAGCCACTTCAACTTCGTGAAGGCTGTTGAAACAGGGAAGCTTATGCCCCCATTAAGCTGGCTATTCACTTTCTATGACTTATCTCACTCCTTCTAAGATTTTTTTTTTGTTTTGCAAATCTTTTCTAAGTATGTATTGCGTCATCGCTTTTTATTTCATGTTAAGGTATGAAGCGACAACATGCTCATTTACGACAGTGCTTCAACCCTACGGTAAAATTCTCTTTCACCCGTGGGTAATTACACCCACAAACTAGCTCAAAACCGCACCGTAAGAATATTCAGCTGTTGACCGTGTACGCGCCTTCGCGGCCTTAGTATGTTCAGAAACCCAGCCGCATTCTGCTGTGTGCCATATATGACGCAGCGGCCAACGAAGCCAACGAAGCGGTGTTGGCGACTGGAAAATCCTCTGCCTCCATAACGTTTTCACCCGTTTGGGTTTGAGTAACAGACGAATGCACGCACACACACGCACTAACGCACGCGCACATATACACACAAGCACACACGTACACACGCACGCACACGCACACGCACGCACACACGCACGAGAAGGAAACTTATTTCAGAGTAAAATGAACACTGCACCAGGTTTAAGGATTCATTTAAATTTAAGCGCCCCTTGCAGGGGGTGAATGTTGTGAAAACAAATCGATCAGGCAGCACTTTGGCCTCTAGTTCTGCTCGCGCACATTTGCAGTTTCCTCTTTTAGGGCGTTTATTGTTGCAAAAAAATGAAGAAAATAATATAATATACAATATTAACACTACCAAAAACATAAGCCACCATGGTATCCTCCAATGAAAACCTTTCCTGGCAACGGCGGCCGCATTTCAGTTGGGGCACTATTCAAAGAACACCCGTGTGCTTTGATGTAGGCGCGTGTTAAACAAAACTGTGTGGTCAAAATTACTCAGACGCCTTTCACTACAACGTCCCTCATAATCAAACCGGGATTTTAGAGCGTCAGCCTACGGTAATTATCAATATTCCTCTGTTAAGATAGTAATGTCTTTTTATAGGGATAACATTATCCCTCTATTGGGATATTGTTGGGAAAGATGTTGATAATATTATATATTGTTGTAATATTAATATTGATGCAACCACATTGACGCGTCACATCATTAGGCGTGCACACCAGGGATGGGGGTGGAAGAGGGGCCGGTTATTCTGCCTCCATAACGTTTTCACCCGTTTGGGTTTGAGTAACAGACGAATGCACGCACACACATGCCTAAAAAACGGGGGGCACAAGATTGGCCCCGTACTTTGACTTAGTAAGGAGGGAGGCTGCAATGAACCTTCACCCCCCACCCCTTTTCGATGGAAAACCCTGCTCACGCTTATGCGTTGCATTGATGTTGCCGACTGCTTAACAAAACTGTTTGGACATTTGCACAGGAGCTTTTCTCTTCCGGGGTGGCTTCCTGGGTTTACTTGTCCGTGTGAAGTGCTGAAGACAGTTTAGAAATTAGGTGGCAATGACTTTTTAGACATAACATGGCTCTTCAGCGCGTCAAGTATAACCCATTCTTTAAATTTTGTGTGATATGTGATTGAAACTGTGTCTTTGAAAAATGCTTAGCGCAGTCATGGTCAGTGAGCAGTATAGTTCGGTGTGAACCTGGAATTATAAGGGGCAACTGCTTCAGACGTTCACTCTCAGTCAGGTATTTTGAAGAAAGGAGCACACCCAGCACAAGTATGATAGCCGGAGCTGTATGTTACAAAACACGTTCTACCGATTTGAGGCACTTCTCAGCAATTCGATGCTACCTTCGTCGAGAGATGCGCATAAAAACGCACATGAACAAAAAAAATTGGCCCCGTATTTGCAAGTTTCTGCAAATGTCGGCGAAAGACGATAGTCTTGCGTGTGGAGAGAATGAACAAGATATTTAAGTGATGTTCTCCGCAAGAAAATCGGTGTGTGGTATTCTGGAGGCGTTGCGTTAGAGTGCCTCGAGCGAGCAGTGGAGGCAAACGAACGCATCAAGTCGCGTCACACGTGAGACATGAGCGCCATCTGGCAGTTTTCCTGGAAAGCAAAGTGCGTGGCTCTGAGACGGGTGTGCGCGCCCATCTCAGAGGTGATAAGGTGTAGAACGCAAAGCGACGGGTAGGTGCCACCACCGTCTCTTTTTAGCAAAGCGTTGGAAACACTCCCCGTTCCGTGCAAGCGTTGCATGGTCAGCGCAATGTGATAAGCGCTAGTGTCCTTAAAATTACATATGTGTGCCTTTTCTAGTAAAAGACGCGCATGCAGAATATATACGTGTTGTTTTGGTGCCCCAGACATGCGCAATAATTCCTTTTTAATTCACGATTGCCCAAGCATGAACCTTAAATCTTGCTTGAGCAACATTGGTGGGCGCTGTGGATGCGGTCGGCCGTTTCAAGTACCCGAAACCGTTAAGTGAGGACAAACAGACAAATGTACAGACAGACATACAGACAAACAGACAAATTTACACACAGACAGACAGACAGACAGACAGACAGAAAGACAAACAGACAGACAGACCAAAATTTTTGCATCGAAGGTCCCCAAGAAAGACTATATCGTCTTTAAAAGTTTCGCTTCAAATAATAGCGTAGCCGCACTTGCCACCAAAAAGTCGCAGAAGCAGCAGCTCCGCCATGACGACTGGCCCCGCTTTCCGCAGCGCGATCATATAGTACCAAAGAAAAAGTTAAAAGAGGACACACCAATACGCCTCTGCGGTGGTAGGGGGGATGGAAGCTATGAGCACCCCCTGTATAACGCGGTGGTGACATGTGTGCTACCAGGCTCGCAAGAAAAAAAATGAGAACATTACTCACTTTTTATGTTGGCCAAATGTCCTTCCTACTTCGATTAAACTGATCTTACTACAAAAAAAAGATGAAATAATGTTTCATCTTTCTGCCTTTTCAGGCAAAAATGACTTCCTTTTTCCACCATTTCTGTCCTTTATCTCTACTTTTCTGCCACCAATATTCTAACCGTTTCTTACTTGCTTCTATCACGGACGAGTTCAGCTTTCCATGTTCGCCCCTTAAATCCAACGCCTCATGTAGACTTGTGATCACAAGTAGGTCTAGGTGGATATCGCCGCATTCAATCAGAACATGTTTGATTGTTTCCTTAGCTCGCCCACACCAAGAACAGTCTGTTTCACACTTAGGGGAAATCTCGTATCGCGTGGCCTCTCTATAAGGCCATGATGCGAACAGCGTGGCAGGCGCGCGCCAGCAGCAGCCCGTGCGTGCGCAGACGCTTGAGGGGCGTTGTGTTGAATGTTTGGACCACGTCGTCAGTCACGGCGGCGCGAGCTGGCCGCATTGTAAGGCAGCAGGAAAATTTCGTAATTTCTGCGGAAACTAGGCCATATATCTCATTGTGTCACAGTACGCCTCATTGCCGTTCAAAATGAGTGCCGCTACCGCTGCCGCTGGTGACATGATGTGGTACTAAGTGAAATGGAAAGCTTCAGGCGTATATTTTGGCACCGGCGTGTGAGTGTTGCCAAAACTAAAGAAATGCTATCAAGAAGAAGGAAGTTAAGCTCGTTTTCTTGACCTACAGCAATCTTGAACTCAATTTAATTTGTTTTATTGTGGCGATAGTAGTCGCCACAATAGCTGGATAATAGTCCATAGAGAGTGGTTCGTTTTTATTTATTTCTTTTTTAGGTGTAAAACAAATACCACGCACGGTACGTGCTGATGGTGATATTCCCCGTCGCAGGGTACTGTGGTTCACACGCAAAGAAAAAAATATACGCAAACGCATTCAGTACTGCGGCGTTTCGAAAGAGCGAGCAACATATGATGTGGAACCGTGTTTTAAGAACCCAGTTATCCCCAACCAAAGCTGAAAGGTACCCGTGTGCTCCGATTTGGGTGAACGTTAAGGAACCCCAGGTGGTCATAATTTCCGGAGCTCTACACAACGGCGTCTCTCATAATCACATGGTGGTTTTGGGACGTTAAACCTCACATATCAAACCTGAGAGGTAGGCATCGCACAACGTTTAGTACACAATATTGTCTTACTTCCTGCAGGAACAACGAAATCAACGGGGAGCCTGATAATGTGGCAAGCGTGCACACACTATCGTCGCAGACGATGCTGTTCAATAGCACGCTCTTCAAGCGTCTGCGCATACGCGAGCTGTCTCCGGCGCGCGACTGCAGAGATGCCGTGCGCTTCGACATCTGCCCCAATTGTAAAACAGACTTTACTATGTTCTTCTTCTTTATTGAATCATATTTATGACTGCACGTTTAATGCAACCCGATCTCGCTTCGAATAATAAAGCGCTTCCCCTTGAATTACTATAAAACTTCTCCCACCCTATTACACTCTTGCCTTTCGGTAGTTACTGAGAGCCGGCTTCTTTTCCATCGCTGCCATCCAATAAATCCTCTCCACTTCTCTGACTTTTCACTTAATGCTCCTTGTTGCCGTATCGCCCAAATCGGGAGCCGTATATTTAGTGGCGAGCCTCCTAGTTCTTTTTCTCCTTTTTTTTGTGTCCATGCTCTTCCTATACAAATACTTGAACACTTTTTCTGCCCATCT